ACACAGTGCAAGAGAAATGCTTCCAACATATAACTACCAGGCATACACCCTGCATATTGTAGCGATGGTGTCTTCTTCTCGCTAATGCCTTACCGTTATGTGGGAGATATTTCTGGGATGTCTTTCTGCTGCAATCTGTATTAGTTTTTGTTGTTATACAGGGTGTCCCAAAATAATGTATACGCTCTTTGAATCGTTATAACTTATTCAATTTATGTATTTTGACTTGTAAAAAAGATTAATACAAGAGAAAGAATACACATTTAAAGAATTTGAGAGTAAAAAAAACCCTAGAAAATTAACTTTAATAAGATAAAAGTTACTTGGGGCAAAGGCAGAATGTTCATATAATGATGAGTTCGCATCGGTGGCTAGGATCAAAGTGTAGTATCTGTGCTTTGTGAGCTGCCGGGTCGGGTGTCTGTCGAACTCTCTGCTTGCAGAGAGGAACCCGGACGAAGCTCCGCCGAAGGGTTGGGTTTCGTTGGGGGAAGTTGACGGAACTGGCCCGCCTCGGCGGGTTTGGATGGTTATTTATTTTTGGCTGGGCCTACGGGATCAGAGATACCCACATTAAAAAGGCCTTGTGCCACATTCGATCCCCGTGAGTGGATTGATAAATACCATCAAGTGCTCAAATTGATTGCCGTTCTGTTCAATACACTTTTCATATCTTGAAGAAATAGACCTACAAACGTCCAGTATCATTTCCTCTGGTATTTGAACACATTCTCCTTCAACTGCTACTCACATTTCAGCAATTGTTTCAGGTTTCCTTCTGTAAACTTTGTCTTTTAGAAACCCCCACAAAAAGAAATCCAAAGGGTGTCAAATCTGGTGATCTAGGGGGGTATTGAACTGTCCCTCTTCTTCCAATCCATCTGTTTTGCATATTTTCATCCATATAAGGTCACACATCACGCTAATGTATTATTAACTGTTAATATTTAAAGAGTGTATACATTATTTTGAGACACGATGTATATTTTACACTATTCTTTTTATTTAAATTCTTTTTTCTTTTCTTTTCCATCATTTTCTCCCCTCTAAATTTTCTTGCCCCTTTAATTTCCACCTTCATTTCGATCTCTTCTTTTCCTACATTATTCGGACTATTGTCCTCATCTTTCCCAGAAGAAATAGATTAGCAACAGAACGACAAAGACGGCGACGACAAAGCTTATTTTAAAGCCAGTTTGAAGCAAGACGATTACTTAATAAACACAGCTAACTGCCTGTCTCATATGAAAGGTTTGTACAAAAAGGACTGCAATCTAAGAATAATTGCACTAAAGGAATTGATTGATTAAACGGTTCACTTTGTTCGTGAATTGATTTTTCTAAATGCTTAATTTGTGTAGATTATTAAAACTAAAAAGAGTTAGTAATCACCTACAAATCTACTAAATTGTGCAACCGTATCGTCAAAAATGATGTTCAATTCGGTCTATGATTCATTGATTACCCCTGGTTTTACGTCAATCACTTTTTGCTCAATATATTTTCATACTAAAAAGTGTGTATATTATTTACATTATTTGTACTATTGTCCTCATTTTTGTCGCCATATTTATTACAACGTTTCGGCCGTTGTACGCTCCGGCCTTCTTCATGTGGTTGAAATGTCGAACTGAAGCCTTTATTTCGCTCACTGGGGTAGACTGTTCTAGTTCTACGTGTCATGTTTGGTGGATGTCAGTTATCAGTTATCTCCTGTTAATTTCCCTCTGAAAGTTCTCCACTGCCTTAACCGGGTATTGAACTCACACTCTGTTGTAGAGTAGTTTTCACAGTGGAGGCTTGTATTTCGCTAAGTCGGTCCTAATAGGGTCCGACGTACAAAGCGTTAGGAACTTGAAATAAGAGTTAATGACGCAGCAATCTAGTTGTGATGGTTGATACTTCAATGTCCGACATCGACTGACTCACTCAACTCCACTGAGCCCAACTGGCGACCGCTACTACTACTACTACTATTACTACTACTACTACTACTTATTATGTGTGGGAGAGTCTATTACAATAGAATAGGTAATTTCTGGTATAACACACCTTTTGAGTCCTGTCAAGGGATCTAACCAACGCTTTTATCCACGCTGCCATGTGTCCTTGAGGACATCTTGAGGATATCTTCTTTTCCTGTATTTTATTTTTTGCTATGTTAGAAAAAAAAACGTTTAGGGGCCCAACGTGGGAATTGAAAATCAGAACGACCAAAATCAAATAGGTACAGCAATTTAAATATATGTTAGGTATTTTAAAAGAGGACAGAAAGCGCGATATTTTAATCCGAAAACATATTGAGATAGTCAAAGACGCGTTCCAAAGGATAAGCAAGTATTAAGAAATGGAGAAAAAAAAAACCCCTAGAAACAAAGAAAAGAGGACGAAACGGTTACGTGATATCAGTTCTCTTGTATTGCGAGTGAGTGCTGGACAGTTTCCTCAAAGATGAAGAAGAAACTTGAAGCAACAGAAATGTGGTTTTAAAGAAACATGCTGAGGATACCATGGACCAAACATGTAAGCAACGACGAAGTTTTAGAAAAAAATGGAAAGAAAGGAAACTAATTCTTAGTATCAGAAGAGAACAATGAGGTTTCTAAGACGCATAATGAGGAAGGAGGGCTTGGAGAATATGATACTCAAGGGACAAATAGCGGGCAAGAGGGATAAATGAAAACAACACATACGTGAGCTTGACTAAATGGATAGTGGTTTAGGAGAAATTTAGTAAGAGCTACAAAGGAGAGGAAATTGTGGAGAGCCATGATCGCCAACGTTCTAAATGGACACAGAACACTGGAGAAGGAGAATGCGTTTAGGTAAATGGATAGTGGAAAACTGTTTAGGAAAAATAACAAAAGGACAAAATTTATTAAGAGCTACAAAGGGAAGTAAATTGTGGAGAGCTATGTTCGCTAACGTTCTAAAGGGACACAGAACACTGGAGAAGAAGAAAGCGCTTAGTTAAATGGATAGTAGAAAAACTGTTTAGGAAAAAAAAATCAAAAAGACAAAATTTATTAAGAGCTATGAGGGATAGGAAATTGTGGAGAGCCATGATCGCAAACTTTCTGAACACATACAGCACAATGAAGAAGAAAGTGCATGCGCTTGAGTAAATGGATAGTGGAAAGGGTTTAGGAAAAATAAGAAAAAAATATTGAGAGCTGCAAAGTAAAAGAAATTGTGGAGGGCCATAATCGCAAATGTATATCGATCAATAAAGAAGGAGAATGCACTTGAGTAAATCGATGGGGGAACAGTGTTTAAGAGAAATAACAAAAAAACAACAGAGCCACAAAGGACAGGAAATTGTGGAGAGCCATGATCACCAACGTTCTGAAGGGACACGGTATAATGAAAAAAAGAAGAATGCACATGAGTAAATGGATGGCGGAACAATATTTATTTGAAATAAAAAAACAACATTTATTAAGAGCTACAAAGGACAGGACATTGTGGAGAGCCATGATCACCGTCGTCATGAAGGGAGACGGCACATAAAAGAAGAAAAGTGAGATTGAGTAAATGGATGGTGGAACAAGGTTTAGGAGAAATAATAAAAAGACAACATTTATTAAGAGGTACAAATGACAGGAGATTGTGGAGAGCCGTGATAACTATCGTCCTAAAGGGAGACGCCACATAGAAAAAGGAGAATGATATTTAGTAAATGGATGAGTTTGGGGAAATTCTATGGATATTTTATTGTCGTAGAACTCGCCATTAACTTATTCAATCACTAAGATAAGAATTCAGATTCCTCAAAAGATTCAAATAGGAAAACCGTGAATTTTTCAGGAGTCTTTCGAGTAATAAATAATTACTGATGTCCCCACTAGAGTTGTTTCATTTAGTTTTTTTACGATGATATTGACCTCGTACAAGGCCGACATATTTGGCCACATATTTGGCCATATATTTTGCAACATTTTTAACCGCATATTTTGCGACATATTTGTCCACATAGTTGGCCGTATATTTGTGACATATTTACCGCATAATTGCCCACATATTTTGCCACATGTCTGTCCACATATTTGGTCACATAATAGGCCACATATTTGCCCACATATTTGCCCACATATTCGTCCACATACTTGCCCACATATTTGCCCAAATAGTTGGCCACATATTTGTCACATATTTTGACACACATCTCCCCCACATATTTGCTACATAACTGCCCACATATTTTGCCACATATTTTCCCCCATATTTTTGGACATATCTATCTACATATTTGGTCACATATTTGGCCACATATTTATCCACATATTTGCCCACATAGTTGGTCACATAACTGACCACATATTTTGCCAAATATTTGACCACATATTTTGCCACATATCTAGGCCACATATTTGCCCACATATTTCCCCACATATTTGGCCATATTTTTGACCACATATTTGCCCACATATTTTGCAACATATTTTTCCACATATTTGCCACATTTTTGTTCACATACTTGCACAAACAGTTGGCCATATAATTGTCACATATTTTGCCACATATCTGCCCACATATTTGTCACATAATTGCCCACATATTTGTCGACATATTTTGCCACATATTTTGCCACATATTTGGCCACATATTTAGCCACATATTTTGCAATTTGCTTTTGTAATATTTTTTTAAATTGTAAAAAGACTTTATACACACGCTGTATTGTCCCTTTCTGTCAGAAATCCTGTGAAAATTTCTTTATCATTATCCATATTATTGAGCCTCGGACTATTTTCAGTATCTTTGTTGTTATTGTTATAACATCGTTTTGCCCGTTCTATCCTCCGGACTTCATCAAGTTCTTGTCGCTCCGCGTCACCATTTGGGAATTTCGAAATTAACCCTTTATTTAATCAACGTAGGTAGATTGTTCGCGTTCCGTGATCGATGTCTAGGGATGTCTCTTCTTTTTCTTATTTAGTACTGATCAGTTGTTGTTCGCCCTGTTTTCTATTAAGTGTATGGTCTAAATTAATAGCTCCATGGGACCTCGTCGATTAAAGTGTAAGGTGTGAATAGAAACCAGGAATCGCAAGACATTTATTCCGTCTTTCTACATGTGATTTTACAATTACTTTTAGTTTATTCTTATTGATTCCTTTGTCCGACTATTCATTTTTTTCTTCTTTCTCTTCCGTCCTTTCTTTTCATTCCTTCACTCTTTTCTTCACTTCCACCTTCCATACACTTTCTTCATTAACGTCATTACTTTTTGTCTATTCTTTCCTTTTCCGATCATTATTTTTCTTTCATTTTTCCTTAGTTTCTTCTTTCGTGCCTTCTTTTCTCTCCTACATCGAGTTTAACTTTTTTTATCCTCATTTCTTTCTTTTTCTTTCTTTCACGTTTTCTGTCTTTTTTCTTTCTTTTTTTTCTTTCTTTTTTCCTTACTCTTTTAATCATTCATTCTACTTCATTTAACTACGTTTGACACTTTCCTTCCTTCCTTCTTTCTTTCTTTGTTTCTCTCTTTTTTCTTTCTTTCTAGTTTATTCATTCCTTCTATTTCAATTAACTGAGTGGAATCCACTCTTTTTTTCCCTTTCTTTCTTTCTTTCTTTCTTTCTTTCTTTCTAATTTTACATTATTCTTCTGCTCTTTCTTTCTTCCAACTCTTTCTTTCTTAACATATCAACATTCTTTCTTTCTTTCTTTCTTTCTTTCTTTCTTTCTTTCTTTCTTTCTTTCTCGTTGAATTCATTCATGCTACTTAATTTACCTGAGTATCCCACATGCTTTCTTTCTTTCTTTCTTTCTTTCTTTCTTTCTTTCTTTCTTTCTTTCTTTCTTCCCTACCCTAATATTTCAACTGTTCTTTCTTTATTTCTTCCTTTCTTTCTTCCTTTCTTTCTTCCTTTCTTTCTTTCTTTCTTTCTTTAACATTGAATTCATTCAGTCTCTCATTTTACCTGAGCATCTCGCAATTTTTCTTTATTTCTATTTTATTCATTCCTTGTATTTGATTTACCTGAGTAATATCACTTCTTTCTTTCTTTCTTTCTTTCTGTCTTTCTTTCTTTTATTCTCGCTTACTCATTCATTCTACTTCATTTACCTGATTATTACCCTTTCTTTCTTTCTTTCTTTCTTTCTCGCTTATTCATTCATTCAACTTCATTTACACGATTATTACCCTTTCTTTCTTTCTTTCTTTTTCGCTTATTCATTCATTCAACTTCATTTACACGATTATTACCCTTTCTTTCTTTCTTTCTTTCTTTCTTTCTTTCTCGCTTATTCATTCATTCAACTTCATTTACACGATTATTACTTTTTCTTTCTTTCTTTCTTTCTTTCTTTCTGTCTTTCTTTCTTTTATTCTCGCTTTTTCATTCATTCAACTTCATTTACCTGATTATTATCACAGTCTTTCCGTCTTTCTTTCTTTTTCTTCATAATTCCGTCCTTCATTCTTTCCCCTTTTTCTTACTTCGCGATTTCCTTCACTGTTTCTTTCATTTATCTTCTTTCATTTTTCCTTCCTCTCTTTCTCCTCCTTTCTTTCATGCCATTATGAAGTCTATTTATTCTTCACATCTTTTTTTCTCTATTCATCGTTCTAATTCCTCCTTTTCTTTAGTCCAGTTGTCCCTTTTTTATTCAGTTTTCCATTCGTTAGTTTCTTTCTCTTTTCAGTGTCACTATTCCTTCCTTCCTTCCTCCCTCCCTCCCTCCCTTTCTTCCTTCCTTTCCCTAGTTTATTAATATTTTACATTCCTTTTCTCTGAGGCCGGGCCTCATTGAGCGTGTCTGAGTACACAAGAAATAACATATTCATAAATGCTTCTGCGCATCTACATAGACGCCTGTGCGCATCGAACAGATTTATGCTTCCTGTCTGTTATACGCACATATATTACTTACGCAAGAGTTCGATTTTCTCACATGAATCCGACGTTCTGCACTGTTATGGTTACAAATAAACGCTCAATGGAGCGGCCACTTCACCACAGCTGATTGATTCATAAAATGTTCCGGTCTTTTAACCTAGTGTCTTGGGTCCGACCTAGACCATCATAGACATGTTTATGGACGGGACACCTGGGGTGATCTCGGAGATCTGTATTTTTAACAGTTCTTAATCAAAATGTCCGATCTCTATTGATTAAATTTACCCCGTTTGATGTCATTATGTTTTCTAGGCCGTTAATTAATCAATGGCATAAAACTATGGAGGCTTCTAAGGGAAAAGAAACATCTGGAGAGATAGTTTAATGTTTTACCATTCAGTAATAGCACGTTTGTTGGCAATTAAATATACAGGGAATAGAAAAAATATATATTCCACTGTTTAATAAGACTGGCAGCCGAATAATTTGGCGGACCAGACAAAAATCCTTCGCGGGCCGGATGTGGACCGGAGGTCGGAGCTTGCCGACGTCAGATTTAGACATTATTTGGAGCAATGCTATGAACCGACGATTCTTCCAGCATCTTTTGAGACCACACGAAGGAGCCTCTTTGAGGGGCGGGGGTCACCACTCATCAGGATCGGTCGAGGTCTGTCTTCTGCTTGATGGTGGGTTGTGTTTAAAAAGGCTTAATAGTCGCTCAATGCACACGGGTCCTCTGAGGAACATCCATTTATCGTGGTTGGTGAGATTAAATCTCTCTCTCTCTCTCTCTCTCTCTATATATATATATATATATATATATATATATATATATATATATATATAAGGACATTTTATATTTAACATTCTTTTTATAGATACAAGTATTTTAGGAAATGCTTGTCTATAATAAACAGTATTAAATAACATTTACCTATAAAAAAGAATGTCCTATAAATTTCATAGAAAATATCCTGTCATAGGACATATATTTTCTATAAATATTTCTCGAGAGAGAGAGAGAGAGATTTAATTCACCAACCACGATAAATGGATATATATAGAGACCCTGCATTGAGCGACTATTAGGCCTTAAACACAACCCTGACCCCAAGTGAAACACATGCAAACGACCCATTGCTAACGATGCAGGGAAAATGGTGGGTTCCCTGTAGTTCTCCAGTAAGTCGCTGACTCCTCGTGCTATCTTCTATCTTTAAAAGAGCCTACATTGGATTACTGCTGTAATATTTAGGCAGAAGCTAGCCAGTCTTCACTTTCATCTTTCGACAGAGTCCAAAAGCGGCTGACAAATGATTTTTCACCGTTCAACTTTCACAGACGAAATGGCGCAAGTCTATCACTGCTCTATAGTTATCTCCATGGGAAGTACTATGACGAAATACGATCCTAAGTGCCAGCAGTTCTAACCTTCTCGGCTTGGATACGCCATGCTACGCACATTGGAGCCAACCACTATCATCGTCTACGTATTCCACAACTGAGATAAGTTCCATTGGAGCAGCTTCTTCAATAGAACATCTATGGACAATGAACGTTACGGACAGTTTCTTTTATTATTTAATACTTCTAAAAAGAAATTTTAATAAAAAAAACTATATGAGATTTTCCATGTGTATGACATTTAATGAATCGGGTTTTCTGCCAAATACATTATATATATATATATATATATATATATATATATATATATATATATGTGTGTGTGTGTGTGTGTGTGTGTGTGTGTGTGTGTGTGTAAAAATTCAAATTAATCTGAAATTGTATCTCTAAACAGACAAGAATAAAGACAAGAGGAAAACTTTTCTTAGATATATAGATAGACAAGAACAGCGTCAGATAGATAGATATGGACAGACTTAGATAGATAGATAGATAGATAGATAGATAGATAGATAGATATGGACAGACTGAGATAGATAGATAGATAGATAGATAGATAGATAGATAGATAGATAGATCCCGATAGATACATATAAAGTGATAAAAATATAAATTTGTACAAAGAACAGATGAAAGCTATATATATATATACTCCAATAGTAAGCTTCGTTTATATACTGTTTACACCTTCAACCCAAATTCAAATTTAAAATTATTCCTTTTACTTATGTTTTATTTTTATATTTTTATTCATTTTTATTCTCCATTTTTCGAACTTATGAATTTGAACGATATAAGATTAGGCTGAGATAGATATTTACGAATAAAACCGACAAGATAGATAGATAGATAGATAGATAGATAGATGAATAGATATGGGCAGACTTAGATAGATAGATAGATAGATAGATAGATAGATAGATAGATATGAAATCATCATTCGTCACTTTTTTATTATTTTATTATTTAATAATAATAAAATGATTTAAACATAAAATTCAATAAATAATTCTATAGTAATAAACAGAGTTTCTGCAATCATTTTTTTCCATCTAAAATTGCGATATTCAGAGCCAATATCAATGCACTTTATGATATCTGATTCAATAATTACTGCTCTTGTGAAATACCGACCGACATTATTGGTCGCCATTCTGTTCACCTTGATGTATGTTAAATTCTACAAGTTTATGTTTGTACATGAAATTCAATGCAGAATAGTTGGGAGAATATTAAAAAAAATCGACAAACAAGAAAATTGAAAAGAAAGGGAAAGAAAATTGCCTAATTGAAAATAAAGGCTATTATACAAAAATCATACAATTTCGTTTTGTCATGCAGACGTCAGGTTAGCGTAAAGTTATTAACGATTTAATATGGAAGCACACACGCAAACACACACACACATACAGAGTGGTCCAAAAGTAGGTGGACAGTAAATGATAAAACTTGTTTGATGTTACATATACAATTATCTCTATCTATAAAAGGCAGGATATGTGTATGTGTGTTTAACGAATGCACGGCCGCAATTTCCGACGGATTTGCACCAAAATTTACATGCACATGCTCCAAGTTAGCAGGAAGGCCAAGACCGGCTTTGCATTTCCCAACTCCCATCGATAGTGGAAATAATCGATTTTTTCATGCTTCTACGGCAGTTTTCATAGTTTGCGGCCATTTTCTACTGGCCAGAGTGAG